CCTCTCTAAATCCTCCAACCAAACACAACATTAATGATTCTTATAGCTTGGACATCCAAGTGGAGTATAGCAGGATACTCTTAATAAGAAGTCACTTATATGAAAATGAACTGGCCAGTTTTGTGAGAATTGAGAAGGCTAAATTCTCTAAGAGCACTCATGAATTATCAGGCGTTGTTCAAGGCCAAAATAAACACAACTGTAAGAACCAAATTGTGTCTGTAGATACACTATGTGTAGTCTATTGTTTTGGCTTACACAAACAACTGAACAGTTCAAGGCACCGCGTCCACTGGTTAGCTAGTAAGTCCGATAGGCTTTTCACTAGAGGAGGTTCAAAGCCAAAAACTACCTATCTCGATGTGGTGTATCTTCTTAATGTATTCTTTCTTCGTCTGCATTTTGTTGCATGTCTGTTATCGTGAATTCCATTCATGTGGGGGATTGTTGGAAAATGGTTTTTGTATAACCTTATTTTTTGCTAACTTTGAGCATTAATTAAGGTGAGACTCAAGTGTTATTTTTAACGTTTCTAATTGGGTTCATATTTAATGCCGCATAGTGAATAAAATCATGTATTTAGTTGCTCAAAACCATTTTCGGATGAATGAGAAATCAACGCGCATTTTCGGGTTCGTGGAATTGGATTTAGGTGGGTTTCCTACACATTTGTGAAATGTGCTTGTTCCACATTGAAAAGGCTTAAGGTTTTGAAAGGGTTTATATACCTTAGCTTGGGATACTTGGGATAGGCTTCAAAGGGTACCCAAGTTTGTGGAAATGTAAGGTTATGGGTGCGAATGCGTGGTGTGAAGTTAGGTTGGGCTTGTCTGGTTCAATACATATATTTTTGAACCAAAAATATTTGTAATTTATTTATTTATTTTTTATTTTGGTTTCAAAATTCAAAATAAAATTGGTCCAAAATTTTTTCCTTCACCCAAACAGTTCCTAACCCACCCGAACAGGTTTGAACCGGTTGAATCCTTCCCGGACAAATCTGGAATTGTCCAAACAGTTCAAACAAATTTTCTATCTGTTGAAATCTATCCGAATAGTTGCCTATCTGTTGGCACCTGTTCGAACAGCCACCAATCTGCGTATATAAAGGCTGCTTCTAACAATTCATTTTATTCAATTTTTTCCTTAGAATTTCGTCTTTCTTCTTCTGTTCTTCCTGTGCTCTTACATCTACTTCTACATTTATACTTTAGGAAGAAAAAGAGAGAGTTACAACAGAGTTTTGGTTCACCAGGCTTGAATTTGTAATGCTGCAAATTTAAGTGTTAGTCGTTGCACCCTGAAAAGTAGACGCCGATAAAACTCAAAGCACCGGAGCGAGGGAGAAATTTACTTTAAGGAGATTGTGTCCAACACAAGTCTCGACATTATTTTCTATAAGCTTTTAATTCAGGAAATAATTTATGTAATTATTTTTCTGAATTATTTATTTTATTGTTTATTTAATTTCTACATTTAATTTACACACACACACTACTCTGGGTATAACAAGTAGTTCATCTTTTGGTTAGAAAAGTAAATGTGAGATTTATAGTAAAATACACATAATTTTTAGTCAACTAATCCAGAGACTATTTATCTTAGAATTAACATTTCTTTACATTATTGTAATACTCTTTTATCCAGTCCGTTTAAATAAACATGTGCCCCTGCTTTCACTAAACCTAATCTGCTCCAAATTAGAAATGAAATCATTTACTGAATGGAACAACCCTAATGAATTAAATTTCACCGAACAAGTTAATTGTTGTCTTCACAAGATCACATAGTTCCTCCATGTCTGGTTGAGTATCATTAAACACACAATCATTCATATGTTTTCAAATTGACCAAAAGATTGTAAGAGGAATGGCTCTCCCGATCTTTCCTTTGAGCTTCTCTATTTGAATCCAGACCACCAATGAAGAACTCCTTCCACCGAACTGGACATTGCCCATTGGATCCCCCACCATTTCACTATTGCAGACCACACCCCCCAAACAATTGGGCATAGCAACAACAGATGGTTAACACTTTCAATATCAGATTTACAGAATAAACAGACTGTATTAGCACTTCCATTCAACACTCCAATTCGTCGTAAAAACACAAAGGTTTTCATTTCCCTTTCCATGATCTAACAAACCATACAATGAATTGAACTTTAGGGGAGGCTACATTATTCTATAACAAATCAAGAATTTTCATAAAAGACCCATAAGGAGAAGGATCAGACCAATTATAAGCTGAAGAGACACTGAACTCACCTGAGGGAGAAGCATTCCACCTAATTCTGTCTGCTTGATTCATATTCTGATTTGAAGGTTACATTTTATAAACATTATAAACATAATAGTTGGAAATTCTGATGTTGAATGGAATATAGATAGAACTCTTTTTTAGCAAGGGATGAAATCAAAATTGAAATGAAAATTAAAGGTATATGAGAGAGGGAAAATGAAACGAAAATGAAAGGAGGAAACAGTATTTTTAAACTACCAAACAGAAACAAGTTTTCTGTATTTTCATCTTAAATCATTGTGAAGAAGACCAAAAATCACTGTGGTCTCAATTTCATTTTTAAATTAATGCTTTTTTTTCCTCTATATTTATTATATTTATTTCTGAAATTTCCATGAAGATTTTTTCAAATTAAAATTCTTCATTAAGTGATTGCTCCTACTAAACCCAAGCTACCCCAAGCTACTAATATATATATATATATATATATCTCCAACATCCTCTGAATTTCATGTTGATTTTTTTTAAATCTCACAAAATCCTCTCAATGTCCTTGCTGATGTAATAATGAATGTGCAACTGATTGATTAGCTAAGATGCTAAAAATGAGTTAATCCTCATGCAGCTCTGCCTGAAGAACAACACAGCAATTATTTATTTATTTATTTTTTTTTGTGGTGAGCAACCAGCAACCATTGTCTTTAAAGGCTTTGCCTTTTTGCATACAAAAAAGAGACTGGTGAAGTAAAAAATCACATGATAATTAAAGAATGACATAAATGAAGCAAATAAGCAATATTGGTTCTATAAAACAAATCAATTTTGTTTTGTTTTGTGCACACCTGAATATTAGTAGTCACTGCACTTTTATTGTATCTAATGATGATGTAAAGAAAGCCATCTTCTTTTTGACATTGGTGATTCAAATGTATGTACCATCTAACTAACTAGAAATGTTATGGGTTCCATGACTAATTCATTCTATTGGGATTCATATATCTTCTTTTGACTTAGCAGCTGAATGATTTCAGTCTAACACTAACTCACACACCACAAAAACAAAAACTTAACTCAGATCCATTTCCAGGCAGATATTGCCAAAATCTCCATCAGGGCTTACCTAAGAGCACCCTCCTCTTTCTCTTCAAAAGCAGCCAATATGGCTTCACGGTCATAGTGTTTGTTGTTGTTGTTGTCCTCCACCTCCTCCTGAAAAGCAGCCAATATGGTGGTGGTTGTCCTCCTCCTCCTCCTCCTCTTCCTCTGTCTCTGCCTCTTGCTCCTCCTCCTCCTCATCACCATTATCATCATCATCATGAACATTAGGCAATTTCAACAAGAAAAGGCAGGCCCTATCCATGGAATACCCAGACACCGGAAGGCGTAGCAGAGGCACATGACATACCTTCATCCTTTTCATAAACATCAGTCCATATTTCTGCGGTGACAGAGCTGATGTCTTGAAATTCAGAGAACACTCCTTGAACTTGACAAGGCTGTCACCATCCAAGCGAAGCTTGACTGCCCTTTTTTTTTGCCTGAATCAGTTATCACAATGCTCTCACCCATGGGCTGGTCACGGACCACCAGCTTCAATAGTGCTTCTCTTTCTGCTGCAGCTCTTAGGCAAAACATTCTCAATTTATTTGATACTCTTATCGCCTCGGCTTTTGTACTAGTTGCCATTATTTCTTGATCGAATTCAGTTGTTATTGGATGTAGATTACGTGGTGAGCAGAGAAAGGAAATGGTTTCGAGTTTTTGGCCAAACATCACACCCCATTTAAAGGTGCAGGATTCATCAACAATCCTCCCGTCGGGAACCTCTATATGCAGAGACCGAATTCCTTCAAGTTTTTCAAGGTAACTGAGAACAGGAAATTCCAGAGACAGTGAGGTCAACAAATTGGATTTGGTTTTGGGTTTGGAATTGGAATTCTATGCCCAACATGAGCTTGAAACAGACACGGTTTGAACTTGAGGGATTAGGGAAGCGAAGAGCTTCGAGAGAACAGAGCAGCGACACAGACATTTGACATTGGAGACTTTGTTCAAGATGTGGAGGACAATGTCTTCCAGTAGCCAACTGAACAACCCTTCCTCCTCCTCCATTTTCATTTCTTCCTCAGGGCACATATCTTTCTCTCTCTCAAGATTATCCAAGAAAATTGTTGGGTGGTTTTCAAAGCCTGAATCTTGAAACTTTCTCAATCCAATTAAACAGTCTCTAAAGAACTAATTAATGAGTATGGGACCTTGAACTAAAGTTTGAATTTAAGCTTGAAACATGATGTTTCCTCTCTCTCTCTAGATTGCTCTTCTCCAAGAAATTGTTGCTGTGATCCTAACGAACTCTATACAATCATCAAGAGCATGGAAATGACCCGGGTAGCATTAGGCCGGTCTTTCATGCTATTTATTATATCTTGCCAACCTTCCCTTTACACATGACCCGGGTAGCATTAGGCCGGTCTTTCTGCGTCAGGATCCTCTGAAGTGAAAATCCTGAAGTCATCTCCTAGAGTGATCCCATCCAACGGCTGAAATTAAACCTCACCAAAACGACGTCGTTTTGGTGAGTAATTCGAAAAGAAAGAACAAAAAAAAAATCAGCTTTTGTTCAAAAGTTTCTGCAAATATGAAGCATTAGAGATAGAGAGAGAGAGAGAGAGAGGCTGAGAGGAGGGAGGAACCCTTCCCACCCCCGACGCGCCGCGGCCGCTTAATTTTTGAAGCAGCTCATTTTCTCCTCAATAGCGTCATCTTCCAAGAATTTTCCCAATTTCTCAACAATCTCACCTACTTCAGTCAGCCACCTCTCAACATCTGATTCAATGAGTTCCCCATTTCTTTTGGCTACATACCCTCCTTCAACCCTAGATCTCTTATCTTGCAATTTCTCAAGTAATTCTCTGATGTTTTTCACATTTTTATTGTAGTGAAACAGATAACCAAATTGATTGGTGATGGGAGGGAATATGAAATCCAATAGTTTCGAAGCAATTGGAGCAATCATGGAAATATAACTCATTTTTCTCTCTTATTTTCACTTTTCTTCAGATCATCAAAATGACAATATAAAAAGCAAAATCAAAGAGTACGTGACAGGAGCTTTTAAAGCTTACCTATCTCTCTTGCTTTGCTTTTGCTTGCCTTCCCAAATGAAAAAGTTTCAATCTGTTGGAGTATGGCGTGGCAGCGGCGGCGGCAGTGGCGCGTCGAGGGTGGGAGGGGCTCCTCCTCTCAGCCCTTCTCTCCCTAATGTTTCATATTTGCAGAACCCTTGACGTTTTGAACCAAAGTTTTTTTTTTTTTTCAAATTACTTAGAAAAACGACGTCGTTTTGGTGAGGTGACCACTCTAGACGATGACTTTAGGTTTTCACTTCAGAGGATCCTCACGCGGTCTTTCATACTATTTATTATATTTTGTCAAGCTTTCCTTTACACCCCAACGTCTATACGTGATATTTAATAATTTATTTGATAAAAAATTGAGGCTTAGTTTGAGAAGACTAAATAAGTGTATTTTTTGACTTTTTATAAAATATGGGTTGGGTTTAGGTTGGATTTAAAGTGATGTATTAGAGAGGTGATGTGACTTAAATAGGATGATGTGATTTAAATAGGATAGTAACTTTTTAATTTTTTGTCTTTTTTCAATCTTCCCAAACTAGGCCTTAGTAATTATAATATTACTTTTTTAATATAAAAATGTTATAAGTTTCAAATTTTTTATCAAATAAATGATTAAATAACTTATATAGATGTAAAGTCTACACCCATGTGTCATATCCCCGACCTTTTTTCTTGGACTGCTATTAAATAAATTTGCCATTTTTAATCATTATTTAAATAGTAATATAATGTTATTCTAGTTCAAAAGTTAAATTTTTTTTTTCAAACTAATGATGTGACAATCTCTTAAAATATCTAAAATAATTCTTTCTCTCATTTCTTCTTTAATAATGAGCTACTTACTCCCTCCGTCTCAAAATATTAGTCCCTTATTCCATTTTTTATTGTCTCAAAATATTAGTCCCTCTTCAAAAATCAAGTACAAAAATAATGTAAATTTCTTATTTTTCCCTTCTTTTAAATTAATAAACAATATAAAAAGTACAATTATGACATTGATATTTCCAAAAAATATACTATCAAAAGGGTAATTTTGAAAAATCAACTTTTTTTAAATGCAATAATTGTACTATCAAAAAAAGTTAGATTCCCCAAAAGAGATTAATATTTTGGGACGGAGGGAGTATTTCTTTTACACGTCACTATATTTAAAAAATAAATTTATAAAGTGATAATGTATATTATTTATTTTATATAAATTTAAATTAACAAAATTTAATTGTAAAACAACAAACGTTTGACTTTAAGTACGTATACACATTTCTTATATTTTATTAGGGTTTGTGGGATACGTTTGCGGATCGATTTTGTTCTTTTTTTTTTTTTTTTTAGTTTTTTTTTTTTTTTTTTTTTTTTTACTTTTTCTTGCTCTAACTTTTGCCTGGGTCGCCCAGATACGTTTGCGGATCGATTTTGTTCTTTTTTTTTTTTTTTTTCTCTACTTAGGTCTCGTTGTCAAGTTAATATTTTTGTCAAAAAATTTATAACCTATATAAAAAAGTCAAAAATTTTATTTTCTCTCTACTTTTTGCATATCTTTTCTTAAAAAGCCAAAAAATCACTCCAAATATACTAATTTTTTTACCTCATATTTTAGTCAAAAAATTAAAAAATTACTAAAATAATCTGTTCCTAAACGAGACCTAAATGCCAAACCAACTATATTGTATGAAAAGATGTCAACGATATACATAAAATTTAATGTAATATATATATGGGTCTTGGGTTTTCAATCTTACTGGGTTGATAATTTTAAGATCCAAAATCAAACCAACATATCGAGGCAATTGAACCAATTCAACCCAAACTAACCCAACTTATATAGGTTGGATTAGCTCAATTCTTGAGTTTTCTAGGTATTATGTGCGCCCTAATTGTTATAGGGATGAGTTTCTCTCTATTTCACAAAGTGGACTAGATCATACGGTTGGGCATGTAGGACCCACTATGAGTTCCGTTTTGATGATTTAAACCGTTTAATTTATAAATCTCATCGAGTATTTCTTCTACGTAAAAAATTACATTAACCGGATATCGATAGCTCTTAATTAGAACATATTTTTGTCAATGGTAAATATAATTTTAAAATAAATTGTTAATAAAAAAAAATGTGTTCTGATCAACTTGATTTTTTGCAGAGATAAAGTATTCAACGAGCTCTATATATTGAACGATTCAAATTTTCAAAACGGTAGCCGTGGTGAGTCTCGCAAGCCCAACAATACGGTCAAATCCACTTTATGAACTGGAGAGAAACACATTCCTTGTTATAACAACTTCGACAATGGCATTGACTAGAGTTGTTAACACTTGGCTTACAAAAAATGTTATCAATAATGTTGTATTATTCGTTGTGTAAAATTTGAAATGATAGCAATATCATGTCAAATTTTAATCCAATAAATATTTGATCATTGATTTTTTAAAATATACAATTCAGATATGTGCAAGAAGAAAGTAAATTTTTTTGCTTTTTTTTTTTTCTTTTCAAAAAATGAATTGTATATTTGAAAAAACATATTAGTCATCTATTTTTTGAGAGAAATTAAAAATAAAAATGTTACAATTTTCACATTTATTTAATTTTTTGTATGAATAATATGCATTGAGGATTTTTCAAAATGAGCAATTTGGATCATTAAAACATAGTGGACCCCTTGGGCCTTCTATCAAGTTCAAAAAAATTTAACCCGGTATGGGTTATCAATCGTTAAGATTTTTTATTCTCTTAATTTTTTTTTTTGATTGGCATAAAGAAGGCTTTATTGATGAAACACATACAAAGTATGACAAAATACATCAATAAAGAGGAGCTTGGAGCTAGTTCAAACTCCAACCTCCTAGTTGGTGAGAGACTAGCAAACAGAGCCAAAGAAAAGAAAAACCAACAAGCATTCCTTTGGTGAGCAATAACCACCAGAACAAATTAGCAACAAGCATTCCTCTGCCAAAGTATGATAGAAAAACCAGCAAACATTCCTCTGCCAAAGTAAAGAAAAACTCAGCAAAAACAACACACTAGTAGCCACAGCACATAATAGCAGTACATTGAAGCAGCACACTGAACACATTAGCAGCACAAATCAGCCCAGAGATAGATCAGTAGCAGCAACTGATTTGTAAAGCCCAGCCATAGAATCAAAAACAATCCCTGATTTGTCACCAATTGAAAATTAAATCATCAACAGAGTAGGGAAGGTCTTAATAGATGCTTTCAGCCAAAGTGCTGCTCTGATTTTTATAAGTCCTCAAGATTTAGCCACTGCTAAGCAATCCAGTCCTACAAAACTCAGCAAAAACCAGCACATACCAGCCCAAAAGATGCAGCCATAGAACACTTTAGCAGTACATTGAAGCAGCACACTGAACACATTAGTAGCACAAACCAGCTCAGAGATAGATCAGTAGCAGCAACTGATTTGTAAAGCCCATCTGTGGAATCAAAGACAACCCCTGATTTGTCTCCAATTGAAAATTAAATCATTACCTGAGTAGGGAAGGTCCTTAATAGATGCTTTCAGCCAAAGTGCTGCTTTGATTTTGATAGTTTCACTCAGGCCAGAGAAGTTGGGTTGACCTCTGCAAAAACGCATTCGTTCTTGTGTTTCCAAAGTGACCAAAGAACAATAAGGGGGATAGCTCTCCAAATTAACCTATCAATGTTCTTGAAATTGCCACCCATCCACCATTGGAGAAAACCATCCACTCAACCTTGTATGCACCAAGAAAGCCCCTAATCGTGAATTATAGAAGACCAAATCAACCAAGAAAATAGGCAAAGAAGCAAGACATGGACAGCAGATTCAGATTCAGAACTACAGAAGGGGCAAAAGGTGGAAACACTAGCATCTAAAATGCCAATTCTGTGCATAAATTCTGCTGACTTGATTCTGTTTTTTCAGGCCAACCAATAGAAAAATGAAACCTTAGAGGGGGACAGCCCTAAGGTTATTCTCTTAAATCATGTTTATCTATCTGTTATCCATTATATATATATATATTAGTGGGAGTGTGCCCACTCGATCAGTGTGTGTAAAATATTAATTTTAATTTTAATTTAAAATATATATGTTACGTATTGTTGAAATGATAATATGTTATTTCTTAGACCCAAGATCATGCTCAAGCCTCATTTTATAATTTTTTTGTTTTAAATGACTCTTAAAGGAATATTTTGAAAAAACTCAAAACGTATTAAAACTACCAACAACCTTACGTGCCTTCACATAGTAATATATATACGATATATATATAGATATTAATAGTATATAGATAGATAGAAAATGGACAGAAGATATACATCAGCCGATCAAAAAATATATCTATATATATCATACATCAGCCAATCAAAAAATATGTATAACATCTATCTGTTATATATTATTTATTTTACGTTTTGTTTCCAACTAGAACTCTACATCCCTAGATATATAAAGAGAGAGAGGGGAAGAGAGAGAGAGAGAGACAGAGACAGAGAGAGTCCACGCTGTTGAGAAGTCAGTTTTTATTACTATTTCTTTGAGTTATTATTATTTGTTCCTTCTTGAAGAGTGAGTGAAGAAGAGTCGTGTTCTTGAAAGAGACCAACAATGGAGTTTGATGAACAAGTGGAGGCCACTGTTAGAAGAATCCACAACGTCGGTATCCCTACAAATCAACTGCAAGAACAAGAAGAAAAAGAAGAAAAGCAAACTTTGAGCGACAATGCCAACAACAACAAAAAATTCAATCGTGATTCTGTCCCACCAGGGTATAGGTTCTGTCCCTCCGACCTCGAGCTCATCGGCGATTACCTGATGCAGAAGGTCCTCAATCAGCCATTACCACATGACGATATCATCGAAACCAATCTTTATATGCATAATCCTGATTATTTTACAGGTTTTCTTCTCTTTCTCTCTTCTTGTTTTGTCTCCTCTTTTTTTTTTTTTAGTTTATGTGTGCTAGTATTATTAGGTCAATGGTTTTGTAGCCTTTACTACTAAAGGCTCTTCGGAAAAAGAATTAATGCAAGACTTCAAGAATTTGGTTTAGGGTTTGGTTGTTGGTTTTGATCCATATAGGTTTCTTATTTATTTATTTTTTGTAAATTATAATTTTGATGCAAAACAACAAGAAGGTAAAAAGGTTCAACAAAGAATATTTTGAT